AGTTTTTAAAGATAGAGTCATTTGACAACACTAGGTATTAACTTCGTTTTTCTTTGATAAAAATTTTATACAGCAGTTATTTTATATATATATATATACTTTGATTAATTATTCGAAGATATTCTTCTTTATAGTACTACTACAGTTGTGTAACATAACTAACATAATATATTAGGAAAACAGTCAAGTTTATGAAGCGCTTGCAGCTTCCAACGTTTTAAAATGTTTTTTTACATTGATTATCGAAAAATGTTATAAGAATTTGAAAGGACATCCCTAATTGACATATGTTCAAGATTATATTTTTTATCTTACTATATCAGATCTTCCGTTAAGCTCTGCCATAGGATCGGTATCCGTGTATCCTTTATAGGTGTATTTTCATCTACATAGCGAAAATATTTTTCGTCCATCAAACCCGTTCGAAAATCGTGGGTTAAGAGGCTCTCGGCGTTTTTTCGGTAAACCAAGAAAAGGGAAGGGAACTGGTCTTTCGAATCTTCCGAATATAATTTGACCACTTTGATCGCATCGGTGTTTCTGCCCAAGCTTTTAGAGTTCTTGCGACTTGGTACAAAATGGCCTGCATCACTTTCGTAAAGTTCGGCAAAATTCTGCAGTTTGACTGTGTAAAAATAAATAATTTATTTTATATATAATAAATATATTTTATGAAAAAAATACCTTTTAAAAGATCGCCATAAATAGTGGAACTCATGAAAAACAACGAAATTAATATTTGCAAGAGCCAAATATTCATTGCTTTTTTAAAAAATATAATAATTAAAAATTTATGAAAATAATTATGTTATAATTTTTATTTTGAAAATTATTTTCCAACTCGATAACCATTATATTGTTTGGTAACATACATATTAAAATATACACTATTTCAATTAATTAGGACAAGGGGACCATCTAAATAAACACTGACATTATTAACTTTAACTGTGTGTTAAATGAAATCAAATATCTTATCGTTTTTATTACTTCTTTAATGAATTAGTATATAAAAAGATATCAAGGTTATTTTAAAATGTTGTTTAATTTAAACAGCTTTTCAACAACCCAATTTATTAAGAATAATATCACCAAACACATTATAAAAAAATCGAATAGAGGTAAGGCGATAAAACCGAGGTTACATTATCCAAAAAATTATTGAAAATGCTATATTAAAAAATTGGTTAATGTTTCGTACTTGTCTAAAGTAGATGTTGAACCAATTGATATTTTATTTATCTTTTATTTCGATCCAGATTGCCCCATTTTAGGTTATAATATGAATTTAAAAAAGTCGCAATTTTCGAAAAGCGTCAGGCGTCTGTGACCTTATTCGATAAGAGCGCCACTGCCAATCCGATAGTTCTGAGTTAGAATTCTGGAAGCCAACAAGGATCACATATTTTTTTTCTGAAGTCGACTTGATGGTTCTACCCTAGGAGAGACAATATGTAGATTATCGTAGGTCATCGCGTGATTCCATCTCTTGATATAGAGAAATGGATTTATTTTACACTTTAAGAAATAATTGGTCATCGTTTATTCAAAATTGGTTGTATTTGAAAATTGCTATTTTTTAAAATAAAATAGAAATTTAAGGATGAATGAAAAACGCCCGGGGTACTTATTAGCCTTTCGCGGTTACGTCTTATAACGCTTCTATTTTAGATATTTTTTTCACTTTCATATAAAAATTGTAAATGAAAATACATTGTCAAGTATACAATGTTTTAATCCATACTAATATCACTTTCAATAACTTGTTATCACTGAAAAAGGTAATGTAATTCATAAATAAAAAGTCAGCCAATCATCATACCCCAGATAAGCTCATGGCTTCATTCTTTTATAAATATAGTTGGATTTTTAATTAAAAGTAGACCAGTTCCTTGGTTAAAAATGGATAGTAATGAGCATCCAGCCGAAACTTGCCCCAAGTTTTCACATTTATAAATTGAAAAATTCAATTTCACGATATTTAAATAGCCATAAATACTGACATTACATTTTTTTGTATGATCAAAATATTTAATCTAAAGTTAACTAAAAAAATTAAAACTTATCGTGATTATATTAGTGTTAAAACCTATTTTTTTTAGGAACCATTTGAAGTATCTTATTAAAAATGTTTAAATTTCAAATATCAAAGGTGATATTTTTGATAGGGTCATACTTGCCCCTGGATAAAACTATTTCTTCCAGGTCTTCCCTACGACATAAATATAAAAAGATTAAACTTTTTTTTTGATTGAACGAATAATATATACTATTCGTTCGAAAAATTCGCATTCGAATAATTTATGATTCTATTAGTATTAGGTTTTTGTATATGTATAAATATAAGATATTCGAGGTCTACAAGAAATTCTTATGACAAAAAAATGTTCAATATTGTTAAATCTTATCAGAAAAATGCATTTCTGTCATAGACCTTCTAGTGGCTGGCATAAAATCTACTAGGAAAATTCAAGATGCAAAAAAGGCACAACAAAAGTTTTCCCACTCCCCCCCCCCCCCCACGACTACGAAAATTTTGGATATATGATATTATAGTTTATAGTTTATTATCATTATATAATAAAATTCAAAAAAAAATTAATTCATATGATTCAAATCGAACCACCGAAATATAATCGTTAATTAATATTATTTTTAATAACTTGTTAATATATAAATTTTAAATAAAATTATATAATTTTATTAGTTTAAATTTAATAATAATATACATAAAATTTCTGTTTTTGTGTTTATACACAGTATATTAAATGCGATAACCATTATTTATTTTATTTCTATTAAAATTTAATTTATAAGGTGATCTAATAATATAAAAATTAAATGTTAATTATTTTTGATTAGTATAAATCAATAAATCCCTCAATATATATAATGTAATCTAATACAATAGAACTTCTCGAAATCGTTTTTGAAATCAATTGAGACTCACGCAAAGAAATCCTAAACTTAAAACTATTCAACCCACCACACTTAATGTAATTAAATTATAGTATATAGTGTACGGGGCATAGGCTTTTTTCAAGCCTATAAACGCAATATTTTTTTTTCAAACTGTTTGCGCGTACAAGTAATAAGGGCTCCCTATTTTTATATTAAGTTCTAGTTAGATGGAAGTGAACAAAATACCTAGCGTATCTCTGATGTTAATCTACTGGGCTAAATGAATGCGGAATAAAAAATTTTTTATGCGAATTCCATCTATCATCTTCTAATAAACTAAATTCACGGCTAATGCAGATATTATTTCCTAGACTTTTCACCGATTTAGGAATTTCGATTTTAGTTTGCAAGGAAGACGCCTTAGCATTTATTAGCAACGCAATGTCTACGTTAATCTGGGGAAAGGCGGTAACAATTATTATCATGATTGGGGTAAGTTTTGTCTACTATATATATATATATATACATATATATATTGGTAAAAAAATGAATAGATTTGGTTTAAATGACTTGGAATATATACTATTCGGTTGCTTCATTGGGAATAAGTTTATATAGAATAGCTCGGACCATGAAAATTAATATTTTAATTATTTTTTTAGTTTTTAGCTTTTGGTTATCTATGTTTTGTTGATTGAAAACATAAATGCCTCTCTCAGTTGATAATTTTCAAATGAATATGATGAGTAAAATAATTTTAAAAAAATATTGGACATATAAAATAGGTTTACAATGTATCTATGTTGACTAAGATGCCAATCATCTGAGAACGCGGCCTCAAAAATTTATATATATTCTAGCTTGTTTTTCCTGTTCTCTGCAGGTCAGTGTAGAAGTTAACACGATATTATATGGTAGCGAAGAGCATATTATTTTGTTCTTTTCCAGATAATATATATATTTAGAGAAAAAAAATAATTTGTGTTCATACCTATTTAATTTAGTAAATAGTGTCAAAGAATATAGAACGACAGTATTGCAAAAACTAGAGGATTCAGAGTAACAAAGGGGGAAGGGCACGTTGAGTAGATGGGATGGCCATTTAAACTTCTTTTATAACAACTGGAAGTTTTTCCTACTAATGATTGTGGGTAAAAAATAAAGATTTGATATTTTGATATTTTTATTTTTACGGAGTAAAATGTGTTTAAAGGGCATTACCAAACAATGTAACAAAAATTATTTAAAAATTTAATAAAATTTTTATCATTTTTTTTGAAATATATATCAATAAAGAAAAAAAATTTAATGGGTAAATTATTATTTAAATTTGTATTTTATTTTTTATATTAATTACACTGCAATAACCTCTACAATCTCACTAATTATTATTTTCCATTACAATTATTTATGATGGTAACATAAACTATTTTTATCACTGGTTTATCCTAAAGTTAAAAAATAATATATCTAACCCTATAATATTTATGTCAATTTCATGAAATGTTCTGTATGCAGTCGCGACCTTTAATTTAATTTTTAAAAGTTTGGGCTAAGTCCGTGGATATCTAATCCACATATAAATAATGTCAAATATTCGAGATAATAATTAGATATTTAATTGCTAAAATAATAAAATTTTTGCTAGGAAATTTATAGAAGCCATTTATATGTGAAAGATTAGCAGAATCGATATTATATAATCAAAGCAATATAATATAGTCTTAATACATCCTAAAAAATAAATCCCATTATTTTAAAAAACATATCATATTAATTTAGAAATATCCAAAATATAACCTCCATATATGATAAATTCAAAGGATATAATATATTTTAATATAAATTATGTGATCATTATTTAAATATATAATATATTGTAAATCCCCTAAATATAATGATGATTAAAAGAAGATCTTTAACTTGAAATAGTATAAATCGAGACATTTCAATTTCTCTTGTTAGTTAAAAATAAATAGATAAATTCATTTATATTGTATAATGTTAAATCTTACATTTTGATAATAAATTAATGTTACACCATTCAAATATATATATTAGGCTGATTAATCATATTATATAGTGTAGGTTATTACTAATTAATTGCTCATTTGAATTAATACTCCTTTCAGACAGATTGAAGTTTTAGTGATGGGTGTCCCGTCAGTAACAAATTTACCAAACTGTTGACTTTGCCAACTGTTACCTGATGTCTTTTTGCAATTCAAGTAACATGGTCTTTCTGGCTGACTTTCTATAATTTATTTATATTATTATTAAAAATAACAAGTTTACAAAAAAAGATTGTAATTACAAAAAATATAAATAATAAGGTAAAATTGTTAGAACTTAGGCATTATATTGCAAATAATATAATTGTTTTTATGTAAAATATATATATTTTTGCTATATTCAATTATTATATAATTTTTCTAAATAACTTAGCATTTTAAATATATAACATTTAGCCCTGAAATTCGCTTCTAATCTTTTGAACATGTTAGCGTACGCTTACTAATTCTTTTTTTAGATTTGGAGGATAGGGCGAATAATTTTAGGGCAGAGATAGATTGGCTATTTAAAGTAAAAAATGATAGTAAAGAAAAATAAATAGAAAATCTAAGGATATGAGGGCTAGGCGCCAATCATAATCTTGTTCTGTTTATGAAAAAGTTAAGCCTATAATGAGCGATCATTTTCTTGAACGGATTCTGACCGTTCCAATGATCGAATTTTTTAAATGGTAAAAAAAAAGAAAAGATTAAAATGTATGTGATTGATGATTAGTTATATTATAGAAATATATTATATGCTAACTCAATATTTTAGCCAGAAAAACATTGCCTTAGCCTCGAGATTTCGTTGATAGATATCAGAACCTTTGTTCCTTAAAGAAAGAAAGAAAGAAAGAAAGAAAGAAAGAAAGAAAGAAAGAAAGAAAGAAAGAAAGAAAGAAAGAAAGAAAGAAAGAAAGAAAGAAAGAAAGAAAGAAAAAAGATACAAACAAAATCCATGGCTTGCGGTAATATTATTCTAGATGAAATATTGAGTTAGCCGTTTTTTAAAAAATCGGCTCAAAACGAGCCGTTTAACAAACACTATAAAATAATAATAATATATGATTTGAAGTAAAAAAATACGCACCGAATGTTATATTGGAGTACCTATCATTCCACTCCTGGCGGCATATTCCGGCATTCACATCCGCGTACCATCGTTCCAGTTCTTGTTGACTTTTATCAGTCTAGAACAAAAAAAATTTAGTTTATCTAAATATATTCTTGATAAATAATCCTAAAAAAAAAATATCTTAAACTTTGCGAGGAAAAATAATAATTTTTTTTTTTGATATCAAATTTTAACTAAACCATTCCGAAACGATAAAATTAAGACTTAATTTATAATTTAAAAAAATCTATGCATTTTTATTATTTGTGGGGTTAGGGTTAGGGTTAGGGTTAGGGTAAGGTATTGGTTTATGTTAGGGTTAGTGTTCAATAAAATTGGGCAATATCGAAATGTTTTGTAATCGGGAGGTTGACGATTTATAATAGTTAGCAAGAGATATAAAAGAGAAATGAAAGGTGGGAAAAGCGGAAATGTATACTTGGCATTTCACTAAGCGGGTTCTTGCTCCTTCACAAAACGGACCTAGCACGGAGTTTTTCCTATTTCCGCCCAGAAGAGTTTTTTTTTTACAATATAAAATATATATATATAAATATTGATAATTTTAATTAAGTATTGAAAAATAGGGATTATCCATTAGTTATATCGAAATTTTGATATAGGGTTGGGTAAGTATTAATTTTGATCATATTTTATATCATCCTCAAAATTATTTCATATGTTTCTGTTTTTGTTAAACTTCATGTGTCCTAATATACTATAATGATGCACATTGAGGTTGATCAGCTGATAAAAATAGAAATCACTGAAATGACCTGCTCACCAAGGCCAAGCTAATATCAAAAAACTGGATAACCTGAATGTTAAAATAAGCTGGCTCCCTACGATCAAGCAAATCAAGCAACTAATCAAGCTCTTCTAAAAACACCACTCGCGTGATCTTAAGGACGAAACCCCGTCTTACCCTAGAACTCCTCTAATTGCTGCCACTTATGCCACAAGCGATTTAATTTATGGGGATATTTTAAGGTTTATACGATTTGCGATATATATCTTAAAAAAAATAGGCGTGGTTTTAATACATTTGTGTACGAGGTAAGGAATATTTTAAATTACAGGATTTTCTTATTAATTCTCTCCGCTCAAATTGATGAATTTTAAGGTTTTAAGGTAGATTTGATTTCGATTTGACATATTATGATTAAATATTCATTTTGCCCCATTAAAACAAACCCCCCCCCCCAAAAAAAACAGAAGCCGCACATAAAAAGGATTCCATCATAGAAAAATATTAGTCAAACTATACGTTTATATTGTAAAGAAAAAATAATATAATTGCATGTCATATAAAAGGCATCAAAAATGCTTTTTTATTATTGTTGTTAAAGGGCTCTAACTCAATATTTCATCCAGAAAAATATTACGCAAGCCTGAAATAGAAGGAACAAAGGTCTAGATATACATTACCGAGATCTCCAGGTTTAGGCACTATTTTTCCGGCTAAAAAAAATTGAGTTAGCCGTTTAGCAACACTACTTTTTACTTCATGAATAAAAATATGTTGTTAATTAAGGCAGGGTCATCCATAACCTTTACCCATCTAAGGTTTACATTTTTAACCGTATTAAGCGCAAAAACACATGTAAACTGGTATTATCGGGCATTTACACTACGGTGTAGGGAACGAGGAAATGTACGTAAAACTAGGCAGGTTCTTAAGTTCAAACGTTCACTCTCCATCGTTTAAAAAGGGTTATAACCCCTAACTCACCAACTGGTCCATTTTTCATTTTTTTTTAAAATTAAAATAATTATATCCCTTATCACCCATTTTATTCTAAGAAATTTTTTCTAGGCCCGCGTTCCCGATGTTAAAAAAAATTATGAAATGTTTATATACTAATATTGTAATTATCTTTTAAAATTGGTTTATTTGGTTCAGCATTTATTTTTAATATAATTTTTATTTTCCTAGCTCGCACGTTTCAAAAAAAAAAAAAATTAATCCGCCCCGCCCAATCAAGACCACCCACCGTAAGCGGCTGACACAAGCTGGCAGTCTAAAAAAAATCTTTCCGGTGCCGGACCTCTAATACAAGACATGGTCTTGCTAACTATATATATTTTTTTTTCTCAAAATCAGAATTTTATATCGGTTTTAATAACTTCTAAAACAAACCGTTCCATTCTAATCTAACACTTAACCCATCCAATCCCTTAAAATAAGGTGCATACCTAAAACGCTTGCATTCCCTGGTCCCCGTTTTAAATTCTCTTCCCAGACCCATGCACGGACCATCTTTCCAAGCTCTCCATTTTCCTTTAGGCAAATCTTGCATTTCTTTGAGCGCTATGCAACTCCTAGACACGCAAATCTGCAAATTTAAAATTAAAATGTATATCGTAATTAATAATTTTTTCCTTCCATTCCATTCCATTCCCCCCTTTTCCCTCTTATAAGCCCGAAGATCGAAAAATGCAAAAACGAAAATAGTAGAAATACTTTTTATATAACGCAGTTAGAAATATTTCCAATTATTACGCCATTCTGGGGAATTTCGCGATCTTCGAAACAGGAAAACAACCCCTTCACCCCTCTTTTTCTCTTTTTATTCCTTTTAAAAAAAATTTTTATAAACTTTTTCTCCGTCTATCCTTAAAGCTTCTTTTCCATTTTCGAATGTGCAAGGGGTCCCATCTAACGGGGGCTGAACGAACCACGTTCCTTTTCCGTTATTTTCGCAATAAAGCAATGTACAGTTGGCTTCCTTTGTCGTTATTACAATTTTTTTTTAAGAAAAAAATAATTGAATACAAGAAAGAAAAGAAAAGAAAAGAAAAGAAAAGAAAAGAAAAGAAAAGAAAAGAAAAGAAAAGAAAAAGAAAAAAAGAAAAGAAAAGAAAAGAAAGAAAAGAAAAGAAATGAAAAGAAAAGAAAAGAAAAGAAAGAAAAGAAAAGAAAAGAAAAGAAAAGAAAAGATAAGAAAAGAAAAGAAAAGAAAAGAAAAGAAAAGAAAAGAAAAGAAAAGAAAAGAAAAGAAAAGAAAAGAAAAGAAAATAAAATAAAAGAAAAGAAAAGAAAAGAAAAGAAAAGAAAAGAAAAGAAAAGAAAAGAAAAGAAAAGAAAAGAAAAGAAAAGAAAAGAAAAGAAAGAAATATTATTAACTTTGTGCATGATGGCTGTTGGTTCACCCCATCTAGTGGCGCATTGTTCGTCGAATACGTACTGTCCGGGATATTTTACCAAACCTACCCCTTTACCTTTCACGGGGTTAAGACAGTAGGTTTTATCAATTGTCATACTAAAATAAAAAAATTTAAAATAATTCTCAGTGACCAAGAACCGTTGAATTAATCTAATTAATTATTCCTGGAACAATAACAGTAACTGAATCTTCATATCAATTTCAATTCAGAATTATTAAATTAGGATATATATATATCTATATAACAGAAATTGAAAAGGATTATATATTAGAAATGTCGCGTAAACAAAATTTTTGACCAATAGGAAACTAAATGGAAATATTTTAAATATTTAACTGAATTTAATAGGATTGGCGCTGCAAGAAAGAGAGTAACAGAAAAATATGACAGTAAGTGGGTTTAAAAAAACTGGAAAAGGGGATAAAAATGGATAATAAAAATATGGCGGTGAAATGCTAAAGTTCCCAATAACATTGTTAGTCAAATGGGGGTTCTAAAGAATGGAGTAGCGATAAAGAGGTATACTAGGAACATACTACGGGACAAGGAAACAGAGAGATAGAGGCTGTAGTAACCCTGAGCCGAAGTGAAGTGCCTACATTGATGGAGGGTGGGGGTCAGGGAGAACCCGTTATTTTGCGAAAGGGTATAGCCGGTGTAATTATTGGGAATTCTTGGGTGAGAGAAAGCAAAACAATATTTTCTGGTATCTAGGCATGTTTAACCCAAGTTATTTTTCTTTCAGGTAAAATGTTGCCTAAATGAAAATTTGCAACAAACCCTTATCAAAGATATGCATGGTGGGGAGAATTTTGATTTTATAGGATTGCATAGGCACCTGGAGAAAATGCAAAATATTTTTCGAAAACGAAATGTAAATAGAAAATAGAAATAGGCACATGTAGAATGAAAAAAAAGTGAGATATTGTATAACAGATGGTTTTTATTTGTATATATTTTGAACGTTTAACTTAATGACGGGGACAAAAGGGCTGAAGTTTTAGATACGAGAATCAGTAATACCCGGGTGGTGAAAAATTATTAAAGAAGAAATGAGAGAATCCACACAAAAACGAAAATCAACAATTCTATCGATTCATATTGTTTTTTCTTTCTGAAGATTTTAGGTGAGTTGGGGATTTAGTTGGGGAGTCGAATGTTCAAGATTCCCTGAATTGAAGAGGGAAATTTTTTAAGAAAAAATTACGATAAGCGTGGATGTTATTTGCATTTGTAAAAAAAAGAGATAGAAGACTTGCAAGAATCACTAATCAAAATGTTATCTGAATGTTAGTTAAAATTACTTTTACTTAGAAAGAAAGAAAGAGAGAAAGAGAGAAAGAGAGAAAGAGAGAAAGAAAGAAAGAAAGAAAGAAAGAAAGATGAAGAAAGAAAGAAAGAAAGAAAGAAAGAAAGAAAGAAAGAAAGAAAGAAAGAAAGAAAGAAAGAAAGAAAGAAAGAAAGAAAGAAAGAAAGAAAGAAAGAAAGAAAGAAAGAAAGAAAGAAAGAAAGAAAGAAAGAAAGAAAGAAAGAAAGAAAGAAAGAAAGAAAGAAGGAATAATTCATTACTTGTGCAATTTCTTGGATATTGTGTCAGCTGAACATCGAGACCACTTTCTTAGCCTGTCAACCTTTGGACGACTGGCCATGACCCCACCTTCATCATATCTACAATTTGTAGCGTCATCGTGCTCGCATCCAAAACTGTTGTAATAGATATTAGATACACTTAAACTTGCTTAATTTGTACTCTCGATAATTCGGGCACCTCAACTAATTTGACCCAAAATGATAAGTCCCAATATAATTCACATATATAACTACTACTTCATAAATTGAACAACTGTCAAGTGTTGGGGTTAAGCAAGTTTTGTTGTATACATGTCAGATACTTACAGAGGCGACATTTGTAATGCCCAGCTCGCCCCAGTTCAGCCCGCCCCAGTTCAGTCCGGCCAATGCCACGGTTTTATGCCGGATTTTTTTAAATGTGTATTTATAATTTATATAGTTATTAATGTCGATTCAAAATATTCGACCCGGCCCGGATATATTTGAAAAGATTAAAATACTGACAAGCCCGTATAACCGGACCGGGCTTAGAGCCGAACCGGAAAGGGCGACCAGATTCTCGTTATATCAGAGTTCTATGAATATAATTAGTAGTTATTCCTAGTTCTATTTCTTGTATGATTTGGAAGTTGAAATATAAAATAAAGATATTCCAGGAATAAAAAAGAGTTGCATGGGTTATTAGATAAAATGTAGAAAGTTACAAAATATTTTAATTTATAAAATTTTGTAAAAACAAAGTAAAAATTTATATTTATATTTATATTTTTTTTATGGCGGCGATTACAGCTGATTTGCTTTTCTTTAAGCACTAAAATTGTAAAGAGAATAAGATGAAGATATAATTGCTCCTTGAAAAAAATAAGGATTTTTTTTCGCATATATATATATCAATGTTCACGAAAAGCTGATTTATGTACTTGGGGGATAATATACCTAATTCAATATTTTAATATTCTATATCATTATAATCATTTTTATGTCGTCCAGCCATCGTTCTTGATATACTATATGTATATATGTATATTATATATAATTTTTTCTAAATATGCATAAATAATATGTAAATTACGCGTGTCCCATCTCGTGAGACATTATGAAGCCGCTATCTAGGCCGGTGTATTGTATGGTAGCGACACCGTTAGCGGTACATAAACCTCCTACTATGGCATATCCTTTTTATAAGAAATAAAATAAAAACAAGAGATTAAAAAATATTTCTTAAGCAAACTATGAATTTATAAGGCCTCGTAATACTATTCACTTCTTTATTGCTGTTCCTTTTAAAATCGCTCTCTTATGTTAAAAAGATAGATAGCTAGCTGAATAATTTCTAACCTTTAATATGTTGTCAACGATTTTAAAAGCGGTATATTAAAAATGTATGGACTAGGATGAGGCCCATGTACTATTATTATATGTATATCAAGTTAGAAAGAGGAAAGAGGAAAGCGGAAAGCATGTATGATAGAATAACAATTTAAAAAAAAATGGTCACTTGATTCACAAACGAAGGAACCATTACATTAAAGGTTTTAAAAAAAAAGGAATGGATCCCAGAAATGTCTGAAGATATTCCAAAGACTAAATTCATTGGAATATCTTTTTCACTCCCTGTAGTAAGGCTGATTTTTTAAAATACGCTTTCCTTATGTTAAAAAGATGGGTTAGCCGAAAAATTTCTAACCTTTAAAAAAGTTTCCAAACGTTATTAAAAGCATTAATTTACTAGAAATGAGACCCATAATTGAAATAAGAAAAATTATAGCATAATTTACAATTGTTAAGAGAACGATATAAAAAAACAAAGAATACAATATACACAATTTATTTACCATTAATTAATATTAAAGCAAAAATATAAATTTATATTTAACGCAAAAACATAACCTGGCGTACTATCCCTTGACGTTACGAAATCACTTTAATTAAAAAAAAAATTATTACAAATTTATTCATTTATAATGTGTTTATTTACTCTGATATTACGAAATGCATATCGGCTTCTTGGGTTGCTAAATTTTTGTTGCGATCGGCGAATAGCCAAACGCTCTTATAGATATCCCCTGGAATATATGATCTATCCTGCAAACATAGGGAGTGTATTGTTAATAAATATGAATTTTTTTTTTATTTTTCCTTCCTTCCTTCCTTCCTTCCTTCCTTCCTTCCTTCCTTCCTTCCTTCCTTCCTTCCTTCCTTCCTTCCTTCCTTCCTTCCTTCCTTCCTTCCTTCCTTCCTTCCTTCCTTCCCCTTCCTTCCTTCCTCCTTCGAATTTTATGAAAATTACGTCAATATATTTTATCGCTTTGATACGGAAAGCGAAATTTTGTCCTATGGATTGATCACGGTAGATACGATTGATCTTTTCGATATAATAACATAACATTTATTAAATTTTCTTATTTAAAAACAATTTTAAAAAAAAAATCATAATAATTAACATAATTTTTCTTTTCATATACCTATTGGTGTTGTTAAATTACTTTAACTTTACTCAACTATAAAACAGCGTAGCCCATATTTTTATCCAAATGTATTGGAATCAATCTTCAAATCCCTCGACAAATATTGCAGATAGAAATCCTGAAATCCCTATTTTTCAACCTCATAGGATTTTCCATCCTATGTTTATCATTCTTTTCATAACTTAGAAACATAATTCAAATTTTTAGGCCATAGAGATGGTCATACTTAGGTAATTTAACAAATCTAATATCTATTAAATATAAGAAATGGTTTTAAGTTTTTTTTTCAAAAGAGTTGTAAAAATAATTTTTTTTTTTTCTTTAAATTATTTTTTAAATAAATATAAAGGAAATACAATAATTATCATATGAATGAAATGGGTTGAATTATAAAGAACTAAACATCGGAAGCAATATAGATCCAATATTTTTCGGGAACACTTGCTCGCTTAAGGTGATTGGTCAAATAGAAAATGGCTTCTATCAAATGCGTTTTTCCATTTTGTTGCCTTTTAGGTCGTTCCAAGAAATCAGCCGAATTCGCGTATCTATTATGCTCATAATCTTTCATTTTTTTAAAAAAAAAAATTACAAAAAAATAATTGTTATATATTTGGACTATTTAAATAAATAACTTTTTATCTATCATGATACTTATTGATTAAAATTTTTTGTTAAAAATAGTATCGGCCGATCAAGTTCTAACAAAATGTCTGGGCCCTCATTTTTTTATACCATGTCTTAAAATTTAAGGGTCGAAAAACAACAATTCTGAATTTAAAAAAAACTTTATAATTGTTTGGGTTGGTAATTTTTGGGAACATTGGGTAAAACATAACAAGAAGAACCCAGTTACTGCACACCATATAATATTTGTGTTGTTAAACAAATGCTCGTTTAGAGCCGATTTTTATAAACGGCTAAACTCAATATTTTAGCCGGAAATGTTGCTCAAGCTTCGAGACTTCGTTGATGTCAGAACCTTGGTTCCTTCTACAAACAAAATCTTCAGGATGGCGTAATACTATTTTGAAATGAAATATTGAGTTAGCCGTTTAACAACACTATATAATATATATGTTAGCGGCAATGTGTTTTTTCCGGCAATGTGTTATTTTTTCAACTTTAAAACAATTTTTTAGCGCGTTTTTTTAAATTTAAAAAATCTGATTTTACCGGAAATTAATTCCAGCATGTTTAGAACACCCATCTTATGAATTGTAGATAATTTTACCTTTAAATTTTGAGTTATTTATAATTTATAATTGCCGCTAACATATACACTAAAATAGTTTAAAAAAAAAAAAATTAACCAATCAATAAATCTTCATTTTTATCGTATTAAATTAGTAAAAAATAAATAGGGCTAATTATAATATATACCGTTTCTAAATTTTGGATGGGTGTTCCTAACTAAATTATAGTTAAAGTCTAGGTCTCCTGGGTTGTACTCCTTCGCGATGGGTTCCATTTTGTAATGTTCATCGTTATATATAAAATGCGCTTCCTATTAATTTTAAGAAAAGCAAAATGATTTATATTTTAATGTGTTAAGTTTTTTTTTAATACAGTTTTTCCATCTATAGCAGTTAGGTATAGAGGTTCCTTCTTGCCCCGTTTTTCGTTTATAGCGTCATCACCCGTATCCATCTAAAAGCGGTTTTTATTTTGATGTATGGAAAAGAAAGAGGTTGGGGTGAGGGGTAGGGGGGGGGGGGTAGTGGAAATTTATTTGTAATACGAATTTATACAATTTGCGATGGTAGAAACCCCTTCCATCTTTAGTTACACGGTTGAGGGGTATCTTCCAACGGTTTTAAAATGTTTCTACATTCGGAATTTAAAAAGCCATTCATTCATACTTGACATATGTTCAAGATTTTATTTTCATATCTTTACCGATTTAGTTTTCCCGCTAAGTTCAGCCGTAGGATCGGTATCCGTGACGTATCCCTTATAGGTATTTTCGTCTACATCGCGTAAATACCTTTCGTCCATCAAATCAGCTTGAAAATCGTGGCTCAAAAGGCTCTCGGCGTTTTTTCGGTAGACCAAGAAAAGGGAAGGGAACTCGTCTTTCGAATCTTCCGAATATAATTTGTCAACTTTGATCGCGTCAGTGTTCCCGGCCAAGCTTTTCGAGATCTTGCCACTCGGCTCAAAATGGCCGGCATCACTTTCGTAAAGTTCGGCAAAATTTTGCAGTTTAACTGTGTTAAAAAATAATAATTTTTTTTTTTAATAGATATATTTAATAAATATTATTATTAAAAAAAAATTACCTTTGAAAAGATCGCCATAAATAGTGGCACTCGTGTAAAACAACGAAATTAATATTTGTAAAAGCCAAATATTCATTGCTTAAATAATTTATTTTTTAATTATTCTTAATAATCGAAAAAAAAGGTGTTTTTTTTTTAAAGATTATTTTCCATCTCGATAACCTCTTATATAGTTTAATAATATTATACGTGGATATAATATACGTAATTTCTTTATTAACCATGGAACCACCCACCTAAATAAACAGTGAAATGCGTTATTGAAATGAATATCCTATCGTTTTTATTTTACTACTACTTCTTTATAGGAAATTAGGATAGGAACGTGTAACTGGGTTATTTTTAAAAAAAAAATTTTTAATTTATTTAAACAGCTTTTTGACCCAAATATCAAGAACAATTATCGGAAAATATATATCGTAGGTAGGGTAAACCGGGGTTAAATTATCCATAAAATATTATTTTTATAAAAAGATTGATATAAGATAACCCTTAGATACTGTATAAGTTAGGTGATTGAACCAATCGGCATTTAATCTATAATCTTTTTCTTGGATTCCAGATTGCGTGAATGTGACCTTGTTCGATAAAATACCAATCTCAATAGTTCTGAGTTAGTATCCAGCAAGGATCGTACAATTTTCTTTCTGGAGCCAACTTGGTGGGTACGCCTTAGGGTTAGATTATATACAGAAAATATCTTAAGCAATCGCGTTTCTCCATCTCTTAATATATATAAAATGGGTTGCTTAGAAAATTTGCTATTTTAGCTATATTTAACATTAACCTAAAAAAAAAATAGATTAATCAAAATTGTTCAAAATATTGGAACCAACTTAGTTTTACTCTTTATACCTATATATTTATCTCTATGGCAAAAAAAAATTGATATTTAAGAAAAAAAATAGAAGTTATTTTATTATATTTTATTAATATAAAAATTTAAAGATGAATGAAAAACACCCGGGGTACATTTTAGCCTTTTATCGGCAACACGTCTTATAAATAACGTTTCTATATTTTTTTTCAGATAATTTTTATCATTTTTCATAAAAAAAAAATGTTAATCTTAGAAAAATAAATGAAAAATACGTTGTCAAATATGATAAATATACCATGTTCATCCAAAAATAGAAGAACTTGTTATAAATTGAAGTGTCATATAATTTTCTAAACAATAAGTCAGCCAGAATCATACCCCAGGTACGCTCATGGCTTCTAATTTTCCTTATAAATATAGTTTGAATTTTATTTTCTTAATTAAAATTAGGACCCCCCCCTCCTGTTTAATATGGACAGTACGCGTCCGGTCAAAATTTGCCCAAAGTTTTTGCATTATAAATTGAAAAAATTCAATTTCAAGATATTAAATTTCCATAAATATTTAAAAAAAATTTTTTGTATGATAAAATAGAGATTAGATTTGTTATTTAATTTAAAGTTAACTAAAAAAATTAAAACTAAAACATTTTTTTTAGGAACCATTGAAACATCTTATTAAAATGTTTAAATTTCAAATATCAAAGGTAATATTAGTTTATAAAAAAAATTATTTGATAGGGTTATACCTGCCCCGGGATGAAACTATTCCTCGGTCTTAGCTACTGTTGTAGCAGTTAGAAAAAAGAAGAAATTAATATAATATAATATACTAAATGTCAGTTATTTTTATGAAATGAACAATTAATTTTCCTTGGGGGAAGAAGAGAGAATGGGGAGATCACTGGATGCCAGAGAACAAAGAGCATATATTGGATGACTTAAACAATTTGTAAGATTTGGCAATATAATGGAATAATTATTGGTTATTTGTTTACTTTTATATTACTTGTTATTTTATCATTGTGAATAAAGAAATTGAAAGGTATAAGTCTTATATTTTTGTTATGTGTACAAATGGTAGCAAGATTATAGGAAGGGTTGAGAGTAAGGGGCGTCTTTAGCTATGACGCAAACATAAATGGTTAAACAGTAATTTCAACATATAAGTTGAAAATGGGCCTATTCACAAAACTAAATCGAATATTCGTGTTTATTCGAATAATCAAATTGGAATAATTTTTAATTCGATTAGCATTCGTTTTTATGAACGTGTTAATATACGATAGAAGAGGTCTGCAAACTCCGGTCCGGTTCGGCCCGTTAAAAATTGCGCAAGTTTATCAGCCTAGTTCAGAATTTTAATAAATCAGGTCCCAAGCCCGGCCAGGCCCGGATTTTGCCAAAACTCCTCCATGTTCTGGCCATCATATTTTGCAATAGCCATTCCCCCCACCCCCTTCCTTCAATGTTTTAAGATCTCTCTTATACCTCTACTCTATTGGCTATTAACAACCGTTTTATAAACCTAATTATCGTGTATTTATGTAGTTGGCATTAAAAAAAAACTTGTTAAATACTTTAATTTTTTGAATATACTATATTAATTTTAAGATTCAGTGTTTTACTTAGAATTTATTAGAGTTCATAATGTGCTTTCCAGCTATGAATTCCATCTACCCCCCACCCTTTCCCGCTATATTATTTTTTAAATATTTCGTTCTTAAACCCGACTAAAATTAGCTTTACGAAATATACTACCATAATGTCATTATTAACGTTATTGAAGCGTAAGTGTACAAGGTTTTCGCGACTTAAAATTAGCGAATAATTTTTTGGGACCAAATTTTTTCGGAATCATACGTTTTTTGGTATTATTAAATATAATGAACACGTATGAGTTATGCCATTTCCGTTTTAAATGGCGCGTAAAATGAGCTAGTTTTCACTAAATATGCCGCCTTCATAATACAAATATTAATTAGTATTTGTTAAACGGCTATTTCACCCAGAAAAATATTACCAAGCCTACAGATTTTACTCATAGAAGAAACGAAGGTCTAGACATATATTATCCAAGTCTAGAGGCTTAGCCAATATATTTCTGGCTAAAATATTGAGTTAGCCGCCGAATGACACTAATATTAATCGATGCATATAATCCGTGTGGCGTGACATATGTATAAAACTGGCATCAGTGAAAATCTTTCTTTTAACTTAATTATAAAAAATTTAGCGAGCACAAAATGGGGTTGTTTAATATCATATTATGCAATCCATATTATCCCTCGCTCATATAAATCAATAGCAGCATTTAACATACTCTCTTACAAAAGTCACACACTATTCCGTCCTAATCGTTTATAATTTATAGGATAATGTGATATATATATATATATAACTAAAGAAATTACAATTTTATTTTTTCATATAAAAAAATGTTCAATGTTGCACTAAATCTTCAAAGATTTTGTTCAAAATTTTTGAAGATCGAAAAATCTTATCAGAAAAAAAAATGTATTCCAGACAAAGAATCTTCAAGTGGCTTCCATAAATTTCCCCCAGTAAAATTTTCGAGGAAGAAAAGGCACAACAAAAGTTTACCCCCCCCCCCACCTATGATATTATAGTAATAGTATATAATTATATACTATATATATTTTGTAGTCGACTCGCATTACAAATAACATCAACCCTTAAATATAAAATTTGGATTTAAACATGATTTAAATGGAACACTGAAATAAATAAATCGCTATAATAATATTATTTATATAAACTGTTTTAAAATAATAAAATAAAATAAAAATTTCATAGATTTTTTTATTGATTATTAAATTCATTCAAGAAGTTAAAAATATATATTAAATTTTGGAAATAAAATTATTATATAATTTAAATTTAATAATATTATATACATAAATATTTTATTTGTTTACACAGTATTTTTTTTTAAAATGGGATAACAATTAATTTTTTATTTAAATTTAATTAATGAAATTTAATTTTTATTAAATTAATTATTTTTGACAGTAATCAATAAATCCTTCAATATATATATAAATTGTATATGAGAAGAGAAGAGAAGAGAAGAGAAGAGAAGAGAAGAGAAGAGAAGAGAAGAGAAGAGAAGAGAAGAGAAGAGAAGAGAAGAGAAGAGAAGAGAAGAGAAGAGAAGAGAAGAGAAGAGAAGAGAAGAGAAGAGAAGAGAAGAGAAGAGAAGAGAAGAGAAGAGAAGAGTAGAGGGCTAACTAATTTTTATTTTTTCACCCAAAATTAATTTATTTCCAGTTAGATGGAACTGTTTAATCTTAGACATTAGAGGGCAAAAGCGCTATAAAGACAGTTCTCGTGCTATACTGCTCTCACTACCCAAACAAAGTATCGATTTATTAGATTTTTAAATGTAGCTTTGTTTTATTTTTTGCTTATAATGTAATAATTGCATAGTCTATAAACGATAAAAAAATCAACAATTACAAATATTTTGATATAGTTAGTTTGTGATCTATAAAAAAAATGTATGTTAAAAAGTAATGTTGTTAAACGGCGGCTCATTTTGAGCCGAATTTTTAAAACAGCTGACTCGATTAACCAGAAAAATATGCCCTAAGCCAAACATTTGGATTAATATAATTCTAGATCTTCGTTCCTTCTGTGAGCTAAAATCTTCAGGCTGCATAATATTTTTTCTGGGTGAAATATTGAGTTAGCAGTTTTTAAAAATCGGCTCAAAACGAGCCGTTTAACTACACTAGGGAAAAGATTATAATTAACGTAATAAAAATAACTATTTATGGTAACATTCATTTAGCATTTTAATAATAAAATCATTTCTATACTATCACATCCCCTAGTCCTAGAATGACGATCAAAAAGTATAAGTTTCGCCTCGCTGGAATAATCTTTCAGCACCTGGCATGATAAATATTGGCAGGCATGTGCAATATTATTAATCAATTTAGCTTGAATCGAATTGGTGTATTTGGATGTAGTCCCTCCCTATATGCTAAAATTATTATTAATGTTCTTTCTATCTCTTTAAAACTGTTTGCATTAACATTCTTATTAAATAAAAATACTATTAGATTTAAAAATGTCAATTACATTTAGGGTGTTTTTTGAGGTTATAGCTACTAGATTTATTTGAGATTAGATTTTTCTTTTACAGTTTGTACAAACAAAATTGTGCCCATCATATGTTTTTACATTAATTTGAAAAATATTTTTTTTTAAATTTTGGAAATGGAATATATTTATATTATTGTTATCAGGAATATTTTCTTCCAGGATACCTTCCATTTCATAATAATATCATCATTGTCTGACTCACTTACATCGATTTGGATATCCATTTGCGATGACATTTTAAATGATTTACACCAGATGATTAAAAATATAAATTACAAATTGATGATATAAATTTCAAAATTTAAATAATCAAATTATAAATTTATAATTAATTATTATATTATATTTATATTTTCACGTTTATAGTTACATTCACTATAATTAAAAAGTAGATAAGATACTAGGTAGCGCGCTTGCGCTAAAAAATAATTGGGAAAAATGTGGCGCGTTATTATTTATAGCTACCAAAAAAAAGATATAAATTTGAGCTTTTTCGTTTTTTTATTCATTGGAGTGCGGTTAAACGACCCGTTTTGAGCCGGTTTTTAAAAACGGATACCAAATATTTTAGCCGGTAATATATTATCTAAACCTCGAGATTTCGTTAACAAATGTTTAACCCTTTGTGCCACCTATGAGCAAAATCGTAAAATTTGAATAATATTCTGTTTAATAAAATATTGAGGAGTCAGCTGGTTTTTAAAAATCGGCTCTGAATGATCGGTTTAACAACAACTAGGAAGATGAAAAGAATTCAGACAATTCTTAAAAGCTACAAATTACGATGCGGCGTTGTTTTCACCGACTTATGCAATGAATGCGAATTAATAATTTAAGTGAATTTATGCTATCATCTCTAATTACAGTAAATTCACATCTTTGGGGAATTTTTGATTAGTTTGCGAGGAAGGAGCCTAATCATTTAGTACTAACGCAGTGTCTATGAAAGTGTGGGGGAGAGGGGAGGAGGTTAGGAACTAGGAGTAAAATATTTTACAAAAATTATTATCATTGGGTATAATGTTAAAGGTAAATCATAATGAATTGTTCGATTTTATAGTCCTCAAATTAATACAGTAATACACCAATGTAAGATATACTCTTATATCATTATTAATATTAGGGCATATCTCCCACCCTTTAGGGTTTGGGATATTCTTAGTTCTTCTATATTTCTTTTACAACCTATAAATATATAAAAAATTAATAAATTTGGTTTAAATGTGGAGATATTATTTGATTTCATGGGGATAGTTTGTATTATAGCTTAGCCCAGACCAGTAAAATAATATATTTTTTTTCCGCAGCTTAAATTAAAAATAAAATTTATATATTGAAATAATATTTTAATTTTAGGTTACTCGAAAATATAATCACGAATATACATTTTATTATTTTTTATTTGCTTATGGTTTCTATATATTATATGACTCATTTATCGTTCACTCAATTTGATGAGTAAAATAATAAGTGAGTAAGAAGCCATCCTTCTTGACGTAACCCACATAGATCTCATTGACATTATGGATTAGTAAACCCTTTCTTTTTCCCTATGTTAAAAAAAGGCTCTAGTAAAATTTTAGTATATTAACTAATATAATTATTAAACTTTCAGAAGACATATATATATTATATATAAAATTGAATAAAAGATTTGACAAATTTGAAACCCCAACGACAACCCCTCCCCCTGCCTCTTCAAACATACCATTATATTATTTAATTTAAGATAAACTATATATTATATTTGTTATGGCTATATATAATAGAGATCTGCAAGTTAGGCCCGGCTCGTACCCGACTGGCTTCGGGCCGGTCTCGGGCCTAATTCTATTTAAATTAATTTGGTTCGGGAAAAATTATGACCGGACCTTAGAAATTTTTTTAAATATATCTTAAATTTGTCAATTTATATATTGAATTTTTTATGTAAAACAAAAATATTTGATTTTATTTATCGAAATTAAACGACATATAACATATGCCTTTTATTTTGAGTAAAAAAATTAATTTCTATATTTAAATAAATTCGTGCAGGGTCGGGTCGACAAATTTTTAAAAAAAATTTCGGGCTTGGCTTGAAAAATTAGGCCCGATGCAGATCACTAATATATAATATAATAACAGTTTATCTAGATCGAAAAGCTGTGAAAGTGCCATTTAAAAACTTAAATGAATATTATTTTAAATAGGTAAGGTAATCTTAAATTCGAAAATTGTACAGGGATGAAATATATTAAGTTTGAAATAAATCTTTACCAGATAAAATGCTTATCAGAAATTAAAAGGAATTTGAATTTGAACTAGTATTTGGCACTCTTTTTTTAAATAATTTTATTTTCCTATTGAAGATGAAACAAATTAATTTTGTTATTTTAGGCATTCTTTTAAAGTCGCATATTATATTTTTTTTCTGTGCAAAAAGTGATGTATTTTTATCACATACATTGTGTTTTTCCTTAATAATAGTTAATAGACGAGGTGGATAATTCTATTTTTTTAAAAAAAGTTATATAATGGATTCATATAAACTGACCATCCAAAAATATCACTTATTTTTATTGATCACTTATTAACTGGTTCACCGAGGCTTGATGTGAGATAAGGTTAGTTAGCTTTAGATATATCCGTTTTGTAATCGTATACTTACAAAAAATGGGATGATTGAAAATGGGGATCTAATAAATTAATTTTAAATGTATTTTTAATTTATAGGATATATTAGGTGAACGCTTCGCTATGTTCATACTGCAGTTTGGATTACGTGACACGCACTTAAACGTTTAAGCCCTTTAGTGTTGTACAAGAACAAAGTTATATTCTTCATTTCCATCAAACTGGATATTAAGCAAAAGGCAATAAGGAACCCTTTACCTGTTAGTAAACAGGCCGCATGTGTATGTACGCACAATAGTCCGAAAGCTGCTAATTTCGTCTATTAACCGAGATTAAAAAAAGTTGAGCAAAGAAAAATTCTCTACCTAAGAATTACAGATTAAACACTTACTTTAAGTGGAGAGAAGTGGTTTATTTTATTTTAAGTTTAATTCCAATTAATAAAAAATAATTTGTTGAATACTTTTGTGTTGAATTTTAATTTCTTTTGTGTATCTTGAGGTATCGTAGAATTATTAGGGTGGGGGAAGTTAGAAGTAATTTGATTTTAGCTTGAGTAATTTTTACGAATATTTTATTATTATCAAGTTTTATAAACTGCTTAATATTGATGTTCAAATTTGATAGATCTTTTATTGCTCTATAAAACTAAAGCGTTTTATATTTTCTATATATTATATATATATAACAAAATGCAAACACGATCCAACTTAAGAGAAAATCATAGATACAGGTAAATTACCAATATTAGGATCAAATCTATGATCTTAGATCCTTTGACCTCAATTATTTAGCAAATCTGAATTTATATTATAGCTATAGACAAACCGTAGTATAACGACGATATCACAGAAATATTTTGATTATTTAATACATGTCATTCAATTTGTAAATGTACAGCTGTTTCATTAAAACAAATTAATGTTGCTTTGCACAAAAGTTCTAAAGTTTTCAAAGTACAAATTCTTAACTGCCAAAGGTTATAGACCAACTAGTGTTGCTTGGGCTATAAGTAATTTTGTTTAAGAATTATATAAATGCATCAAATAATACATTATTATTTGGATATTAGAAGGTGATTATAGTCCAGGACCATATCCACAGACTAAGGCTGAAAGGCAAAAAGCTGCAAAACGATATGGACTTATATATGAAGATTATGAACCTTATCCTGATGATGGGCTTGGTATAGGAGATTATCCTAATTTGCCCTTGATTGCTGGTGAAGCTAGAGATCCATATTATTCCTGGAATACAGACTTGTATAGGGATTATAAAGAGCCAGTATGTAAACTTATATGTTTATTTACTATCATAGAAAATGCAATACATTTAAATAATATTTTAACTTTGAGACAATAATTTAATACATTATTAACAGGTTCATATAACATGGAATTTAACATCAGATCGTATTGATCCCAATTATATTCCTGTAGGTGGATGGTATATAATAAATTATTAAACTAAATTTATCAAATATTTATAAGGTGGAAAGTAATGTTATACTCTTGGGGTTCTCTATTTGGATTTGGCTTTTTATGCTGGCTTGCATCTCCTTATCAATTAATGTGGCCTGCAGTAAGTACTATTTTTTAAACTATGGTATTTTGATATTTTTTATAATACAGTTAGTAGTATATAAAATTTAAATCTGGCAGCACCATATGCATAGACACGATTTTTCTAAGGGGGGGGGGGTAATTATTAATTGGCTGTTTTCCCCACCAATTTTATTGGAGTCTTTAGTTCTACTTATTACAGCCTAATTGATGACCAATGACAATTTCATTGGTAAATAACAAGCTTAGAACTGTTCCTAACCATTCTTAATGTAGATGGCATATGATAGAGGTTTGGTCTGGCAAAGGAGTCCTATTGTCATTCTATATACTCGTTGGTTGGGTTTAAGTGAAAAGAGAAAAATATTATTTTAAATTTGAGGGCCAAAAATTTTATTGAGGGGCCAGATTTGGTGGTCAAAATTTTTTGGGAGTGTCCAATCCCTTCTCCTGAACTTCTGTCCCCCATTGCTATGGGCCTGCCTAATTTTATTAATTACATACAAAAAATCTCTTTTTTTGACTACCCAAGGAAAATTATTAAAATCTATTATTATATTTGTTATTGACTCTAATTGTTTAGTATATTTTTTTTCAATATCTTTTGCATTTTAAATAAGAATTTTGGAAATATTATAAATGTTTAGCATTCATATGTATATTTTTTTTAATAATTAATTATCTTAAGGTTATGTCCTAAATATATTTTTAAAAAACCACAAAATTTATAAATTTTCACAATTTAATAAAAATAATGAAAAATGTCCAAAATTCTCCTTTGTAAATTAAAGTATTCAAAGTGCTTGATTACGAATAAATATTAGTTATTTATTATTATCAATATTTAAATTTTCAAGTTGAGTAACTTACAAATCAATGCAGCCTCAATATCTCCTCGTAAATAAATGTGATAATTCAAGAAAAGTTTAAAAACTACATATCTTTACAGCCTTGATTTCTTATTAAAAAATAATATAAGAGTAACTTATCTAATAATTAAAAGTTGGAAAACCTGAAATAATATGTGTTTTTAAGGGATATCAAATTTTATAAAAATAAATTAGATTTCAATTGCATGATAACTTCTATTATAGGAAGATAAGGTAAAAGAAAAATGATTCTCACATATTATACGTTCAAACTCGATTTCATAAATTTTAATAATTAATAAATTTATTTTATAAATAAATTTTTAAACTGCACCCACATGATATAAATTTTTTATTTTTTTTGCACTAATATATATCATTTTTATTATTATAGTTATAATCATAAACTTGTAATTAGAAACGAATTATAAAATAACATAACAAAAAATATCAATATTTTTCATTTTTTTAAACAAAAAAAATATAATGATAAATTTAACATTTCTTCTACTGAATACCCTATTATAAAGTGTCATCTATAATTAAGTTTATCACTTTTGTTGGCACTCAATATATATATAATATATATGTACCCTTTAAATTTTTGTTCTTTGTGATTCAATCATATTTTGCTTCTTTTTTCTTGTTAGAAGTAAAGAATATTTATTTTTTAAATCATAAAAGGTGCATTTTGCATTATTATCTTGATCTAGCTATTAATTCAATGATAAATATTAAATAATAGAAATATAAAAGAAATTAATATCTATATTTGGGCCACTATATAAATAATTTTATGTCAGGCTCAACCTTTTTTTTTTATTATTAAAGATTTATTTGGTTTATCTCAATATAAGATAAAATTAAAATAACTATAAAATAAAACGCCATAAAAATTCTATACAATAGAATTAAGATATTTTATAATACAAAAATATAAAATAATACCATTTACTTAGATGGAGATTTTCAGATTCCTACATGTTATATTACTTTTTGGTTTGTGGGAATTGAAAACTTGCCCTCAGAATGTTTGGTTAATATCTTTGCATTTTTCCTTTAACCAAATATATTATTCAAACAAACTGAAGATTCTTGCTTGTTATGATAAGAACCACCAGAAACTTTTATATTAAATATGTTTTTATACATCAGTTAAATTATATAAAAATTAAGAAGATATCCAAGGTCAAGAACAACTTATCTGTAATTCACAAGGCTTTATTAAAAATAAATTGGTGAAGTGATTCACTTTATATTGACCGCCATGATCTTCCTAGCCTCAAAATTTTGAATTCTTACCAAATTACTTTTACACTTCCCTTCCCCATTATTAGTAATGTAACTGCCCATTGCTTATTATAATTTGAAATATAAATAAATTTTTGTAAATTATGAAAAAAAATGATTTAGACCACCAATATTTTTTTTATTAAAAATAGGTTATGTAAAATTTTTTTCATTTAGAATTGATAAATTAATTTATTTATATTTTTTTGATATTTAGGACAGTAGACGAATATATATATTTCAAAAAAATTGAAATTTTTATTAAGTCTTATTAAAATACACTTTTTTTAGAACTTGTATCTGTATCAGCTTCCATACAATTTTACGGTTTTAAAAGGAACAAACATTAATTCTATTTGGTTCTATTTTAAAAATACATTAGGTTTGGGTTAGGTTCTAGAACCATTTTTATAAATAGCACTGAGTAGTAGAGTTTTTTATGAGGTTTTTCTTTTGCGACCATCTGTAAAAACTTTATATGGGTGTTCCGGGAGTTAGATTAGAGTGTTATACTTGATAAATGGGATAATTTTTTTTTAAATTTAGTCAAAATCAAAGTATACTTTATTAAATGAAGAATAGGAAGAAAAAATGATTTGAAGTTTGTCTTGGAATTTTTTATAATTTACTTGCCATCATCTATAATATAAAGAGTTTTAATATGGAATGTCGTATTTAGAGGCCATTTTGCTTTAACTTTGGACACCCGCAAAAAAAACTCTCTAACTTAAATAAATGTCTAAAATATCAAGGCATTATATGAATAAGTTGAGCGAGATAAAAACAGTTTTTAAAATGGTGGGAGGGGGGGAGGGGGTAAAATATTTATTACCCTACCCCATGCATTATTTATTATTTTTTTTTATATACCTTTTAAACCTATTAAAACGCATTTAATATTTATTTCTTTTAGATGGAAAAACTTTACCCGTACGAATACCTCGATGCTTGGAATCATATGAAGACTACGGGAGAATATCCCAAGGAAATCAAGAGAAGAATTCATTATTCCTTTCCCAAAACACCCCAAGATATGGAATTGCACCCTTAAAACTTACTAAATTTTTTTTAAAATTATGTATGATTCGATACGTTTACATTCTTATTGTATTTATTATTATATTATATAAAATGAAAAATAAATGTAATTTATATCCTATTTCCCCATTTTCAATTATTTATTAACCGATCAACAAAGCGTCCAACTTTGAGACATCTTACTCATTAATAATAAATTTGCCCTAAAAATTGTTACTATTTGAATATGTTTTGCAAATATGTTTACGGTATTGCCACTAGTGTTTGTTAAAGGGGTCAGTTTGAGCCGATTTTTAAAAACGGCTAACTCAACCAGGAAATTGCCTGAGCGTCGAGATTTCTCCAATAGATGTCCTATGTGCCATCTTTGAGCAAAATCTTTAGGCTTGCATAATTATTTTTCTAGATAAAATATTCGGTTAGCCGGTTTTTAAAAATCGGCTAAAATTGACCCGTTTAACGACACTAATTGCCACACACCCTAAATGTTTGATACAGTTGGTGGAAAGTAATTTATATTTTAGGGTTTCTTATTCCACTACATGTTGCATCAATAATCATAAAAATATATTTGGGATTCATGAGAGAGAAAACCTATTGTATTTTAAAAGGGCTAAAAATTAATTTTTAAAATATATCAACAAAACGCTACGTAAGTCGCGTGTAGGAAGTTCACGCTATTTGAACCATTCAGGTTTATTTTTAATCAATCAATAACACATGGCCTATACTCTTTATCATTCATTCATCAATAATTTTGATACGTAGTTAGATACAAATCCGGGCACCCAAGATGGATTGCCCCAGCTGATTTTGGATCATTTATAAATCGTGAATCTAGTTCTAGAATAGTATTTTTTTTTTTATATTAACGAAATAAATAGATTTAATTCATAATATTAATTATTTTATTAACATTATACATCATACATCAACTATAATAATATATATATATAGGGCAATAAATAAATAAAATGTCATTGTTTGCTTCCTCTTTTTTTTAACTTTTGCGAAAATCACATTTTAATATACGAATGAAAGTCTTTTTGAATTGTTGATTTGCCAAGGCGTACATGAATGGATTGAGTGGACTATTGAGGTAACACAGCCAATAGGTGAAATTATAAAAATGAGTGTTTATGGGAAAGTCTGGGTTGAACCCCCTTATGGTTTCGCATATGTGATAAGGAGTCCAACACAGAATAAATGCTCCCATGATGCAGGTGATAGTCCTCAAGGCTTTACGGGCCCTGTTTTCCGACTTGGATTTCTTTCTATCGCTTCCTTCCTGCTCCCTCCTACCGAATTTTAGCATTTTGCGTCTCTCACCCTTCTTGCCGATGCCATTTATTTTTGTATAGGCCACTATTTTACTCCCAATGCCTTTGTCCATCTTATCTTCGTCAGCTTCGACACTGGACGATGCCATATTTTGAGGTGCGTTGACGCTGAACGAAGAAAACATGCTACTATTCCTTCTCCGGCCAGTCTTAGCGTCTTTGGCTTTCCCCTGAGATTTGTTACGTCTTTCCTTGAGAGAACTGGGTAACCTAACAATTCCCGGTTCATTGTCACCCAAGTGCTTACCACCGTTGGTATCGACCAGAGAAGGTGTTACCGAAGAGGATAGAAACGTATCTTTTGTGTTATCCGAATGAGCGATATCTTCTACGAAGGGTGTAAGTGGGGTTAGAGTTGTATTAGTAGACTGAAAAGAAAGTGACCCTGGGACAGGCGATTTAAATAACTTACCAGGGGTCTCGTAACTTTGTTTCAAACCTGGTAGGAATAAATTTTTTCTATCCTTAGTGGTACTTGGTCTTTTGAAATTCTTTTTGAAACCTTCGGCAAAACTTTCCTTAATTTTATTGTCCTTACTGCAGATCTTATCCGTATCTTCAAAAGTAACGCCTTGGATCATTAATACCGGATTTTTTTGTAGGCAATTATTTCCGCGGATATTATTGGATTCGCTCATTATATCGTAGTCGGTTAGAGTAGGCGTGTTCGTGGTTATGTAAATATTTAAATTCGTTATTCCGATAAACCGTTGACTCGCCTCTATTTCGTATAGGGTACGAGGGGTCGGGGTTGTGACGGATGAATAGGACAAGATGGTTTGTGTCATGGTGTCGACTTTTTCAACTTTGCAGGTTTTCTCAATTACGCGAACGTCAGGCGTCTCACTTTTAGCATCGGATTTGGACAAGAGCCCCTCTGCAAGCCCGTCTATTTCTTTTTTAAACGTCATTGGCGTAGTTTTTTTCTCTAGAGAATACGATTCGCGTTCAGTTTTCGCGTGTTTCTTTTCGTTCCTATGGGGTTTATTCGCTTTGTTAGACCTACCCGATTTAGATATCTTGTTTTTATCCTTTTGATGACCTTTGGTAATGGCCACGTCTCCGGACTCCGAAAATTCGTCGGAATCTGATTCGTCTGAAGGAAAGGAAATGCTACTTGACTTGTCCTTTTCTCTTTTCTCCTCCTTGGAAAAACTGGTAGTTTCATGTACGACGTTATTGGACGTTTTTAGGCTCAATAGACCATCCTCTTTAGAGTATTTAGTTTTCGATGCTCTTCTTCTAGAAGTACCCTCTCTAATACTTTTCTTGTTCAGCAACGCATTCTGAACTATCGCCTTAGCTCGTTTCTCTTTTTCGATCGACTTTTGCGCCAAATCGTAAGCCACCTTGTATATTCCTGCGTAGAGCGATAATAAAACCACTAATGTTGACCAATAATAGAAAAATATGAGTGAGGTATTGAATACTCGATTATCTCTAAACGGCACGTAGCATTGATCGGCTTCAACACCACGTGTTCCAAAAAAGTACTGCCAACCGAAAATGGCTATGAAAAATATTGAGATCGGTATACCCCAAGCGCAGTAGATCATAAATTTAACCTTAAATGGAGTGCGCCAATTCCTATACTTAGCCGGTATGTTAACTGAACAATAACGATCTAGGGTTATAAAGAATACCGTGTATTGCGAAGCTAAGCATACGGTGTAATCAGTTGAAAGCCACAGGTCGCAAAGAATCTCTCCCAGAGGCCAGCTTCCTACCAGCAAGTAAAGCGAATAGAAAGGCATGGAGGAAACGCCAATAATCAAATCAGATATGGCGAGAGAAACGATGTAATAATTGGTCGGTTGCCTCAATGTCCTTTCTATAGCAAACGAAAATAGCACGAGTAAATTTCCCATTATGGTGACCGTCGACAAGAGAACCGTGAGTATTATTATCACAATAAATTGCCAAAGTTCGTAGGGTTGTGGAATGGAAGATAGAGTTGAAATGTTCATGTAGCTCGAATAATTATCAAACGAGTCCAAGGAATTACCGTGAAAATCCAGGATAGACACGTTGGAATCAAAATCGGTTTCGAAATAATCGTCGGTGAAATTAAAAATGATGGAGTTGGATTCCTTCTCCGAGAAGAATGCCGAGGAGTTAGGATCGGATAGCCATCTCCTTTTCATAGGGTGATCACTATAAAGTGGCCCCTTAATTATTCCATTATTTACACTCCTCTCGTAGTATCCAGATCTATGATATGTTTCAGTAGGTGTGGCAGTAAATAATTCTTTTGATTGAGCGCTTTTGTTAACTCTTTGATTGTTCGGTAGATTTTTAAATTTTTTTAATTTTTTTAGCTCCAACGTCACTTGATAATCATTCTGGTCCCGTAATTTTTGAGCGTACCGATGTATCAACGATCCATTGCTTCGCGGGAATATTGAGACGCTAGCGGTCTCGCTTTGCGTCTTGACGCGTATCAAATAGTGATGCACTATTACCATCAATTTAAATGCGGAAATGGTCGATATCATACTTGTCATTCCATAATTAGCGTATCTGCGATCGATATAATAATAATTAAAAAAAAATTAAGTGATTTCAAATAAAAGTGTCGTGTTTTCTAGAATAAATAGCAGTCTCGTTTTTTTTAAAAAATACAATGTCCCAAGTCATTTATTAGAGATCCGTACCTACGAGAGTGCATTTAGGAGGCCAGTATACCCACCAAAATCCCCGGGAAAATTTTTAAATAAAAAAAACTGTTAAAAGTTTTCGTTTTTTTTTAAAAAAAAATAAAAATATAGAAAATACATGAATCAGATCTGCAAAGGTTGCTATTGCAAAGCCTAGCCCGGATTTATAGAAGTCCAGATGGTATTTTTTTTAATTTTCGGGCCCGGCCCGGATTTTTTTTTAATTTCGGGCCCGGCCCGGATTTTTTTTTAATTTCGGGCCCGGCCCGGATTTTTTTTAATTTCGGGCCCAGCCCGGATTTTTTTTTAATTTCGGGCCCGGCCCGGATTTTTTTTAATTTCGGGCCCGGCCCGGTTTTTTTTTAATTTTCGGGCCCGGCCCGGATTTTTTTTTAAAAATAAAAATTCCGGGTTTTTGAAATGCTATGGTAAAAATGTGAGAAGTGAATGAGAATGTTGATGTATTATTGTTATTCGATTATACAACCATTTTTAAATAATATATTTTTATTATTTTATTTCATCCATTTATTTTATAATATAAACGGCGGCGCTGGTAATTTTAAAAAAAAAATTATTTTAGCCCCGGCTCGATTCGAGCCGGGTTTATTTTACAAAAAAAATTTCCGGCTCGGTCCGTGTACCCGGGTTCTCGCTTGCAGGTCCTGCCAGGTCTCTGACATATATCATACTTATAAATTACCCTATTCAATTAATTTATAAAACTATAATAGATTGCATAATAAATATATAATAATACCTAATTAATATTCTAAAGCTGCTTATTCGCGAATCCCCATTTAAAAAAAAAATAACAAATTTTAGTTTTATTTAGTCCGCGAGAAAAGAATTACAAGAAAGAATATGATCAAAATATGCAATTTTTTTAAAAAAAATGGCGGCTTCTATCTTCAGTGTCCCTTAAACGAAGAAGTTACCCCCTGTTTTATTACAATTTCTTAGGGCGAAATGTAAACTTAAACATTTTTATCTGAGGCATTGTGAAGGACAGATTTAGGTCCAGATTTAAGGGAAATCGCCTATGCAACAGCTGATTTATATAAAATTTAATTTTGGCCTATTCATAACCACATGATCATTCAGATTTGACAGTTTAATTTTTAAATATTATATTAACTCCCTAACCCCAAATAATATTTCTCTAACCTTTAATTCTATTCCTTAATTTCTGTTACCTTTGTTCGAATTTTTTAGAATATATTTTATCCAATTTAAAAAAAATTAGGTGATCATTCATATACTGTTTTTAAATCCATATGATAGTAAAAATATAAATGTCACACTATGACAGCTCTTAGAAGAATTAAGAGTACTCCTGAGGATGGAAGATACGTCCTAATACTATTTTTCTCTCAAAGACCACGAAATAAATTTTAAAGAAAAAATGTCCTCCTTTTTTACTTACTTTAAATATTTCGACATTCTCAATTGATCTTTATTCTATCTATCACATTAATATCATTTGGGGTAAGTTTGCAATATCCTTCTTCAAGGATTTAGAATCTAACATCCGTGAGCCTACTGGCGATCCCCGAGTAAGCTTCTTTCCTCAGACTCTAGACTTGGCTCTAGCGATTCCCAAAGCGAATTATCAAAGTCTTTTCAATGGCAATCTTCTCTTCCACAGACCTTCGCTAGATTCACTCTTATCATTTTACACTTATATTTTCGTCATATTAAATATTTAATTTTTTGTCGTACATAAAATTTTCGTGTTGACTTCATTTGGACAAATAAAATAAAAATAAATTGTCATCTTTTCTTTTCTTTTCTTTTCTCTTTATCTTTTTTTTTCTTTAATTTTCTTACAATTTCTTAATTTTTTCCTTTATTTTTGTGTTCTTTTCTTCTTTGGAAGAATTCTCATTTTAAAAAAAAATCTTTAAATTAGCTTCATCAATCATTTCATGATTTCGCTAATGCGTTTATTAAATAATTATGTTTCATAAAAAATCGTGAGTGGTATAACACATTCCCCTCTTCAAGCCTTATTTTTGCTAAGTTTATTAATATCTTTTAAAAAATATATATAATCATTGATCATTTCATTTTTTTTTCTTCGTGGATAAATTTGAAGAATTTTTTTTAAGAAAAATCCAAAATCATTTTTTTCGTGATCATGATTCCAATCTTTAAGTGGAAAATAAAAAAGAGGAGAAGAGGGGGGGGGTCTCTATATAAGCCCTTACAGCATAACTTATTTATTTTTTTTGTGTCCTTATCATTTATACATTTAATCATAATTATCTTTTCCACTTGAACCTCTCTCACTTTTCTGTTCCAGCCACCTCAGGTTCTAAGGTTAGTAACGCTGAACCACCTCACCGATTTCTGCCGATTTTATCAAATCTCTACATCTACACGCATTTAAATGGGTAACTTTAAAACTCTTTGTAACAGCTCAACTAAATTACTTCTTAAAACAAAGGCATTGTAAATCTTTTATATAATTCAATATATGATTCTATAACTATATAATTTTAGATTGATTGATTGTCAGATATAAAAGCAAATAGGTCATATGTCGGCCCTCAGAATATTGAACCAAAAGTAATCTTGGTAAATTGACCATGGCTTTGCCGTTAAGCCCCGAGGATCAGCTCTTTCCTTCTATTGAATGAAGGAAACGGAAGGGGGTAGGAATGGATCTGTCTGTTGTATATATGAATATAGTGAGCTTATTTTTTTTACTTCATCGTAACCTAGATGACTTATAACGTTCGATCTTTATTCTCAACTCCGATCCTAATTTATCCTTTAAACTTATATTATATATTTATTTCCTATCATATGTTTCACCATTTTTTTTTTTTAGTTTTGAACAAAATGTCATCCACCTCTTTCTTTTCCAATCTATCCTACCAATCTATACTTTTTCCCTCAAATTTTATTTTTATAATATTTATAAAAATTATTAATTCTCTTGATTTTTAGACGCATTTGACTTCGATTTACATTATTTTTGTATTTTTTATAATCTCTTTATATATTTTTTTAATATTTTCCTTCGCAAAAAAAAATATTTAAATTCTTATTTCGAATTTTCTTTTGTGAGGTACAAATCTCTGAGGAATTGGTGCCAATAATCGGTAACAAAGTAAATAGATATATTATATTATATTATAAATAATTATTTAAAATATATTTTTTGAATATTTTTTTTTTGTAGAAATGGCAAAAAAATATATTCATATAATTGAAACAATGATCCTATAAAAGATTTGAATAAATATGATTAAAAAAATTGCTATAGGTTAAACTAGATTTTTTTTAATTTCCCGGCATTTTAAGCCCTTTAGACACACCTATCCCACCCCCCCCCCCCAAGATGGCGCTGACCCTTCTCCGAAGACTTAATTAAAATATGGATGCCGTATATGATAATCAAAATGGTTTCCCTCCTCCTTATATTCAATGACGTAATTGCATTTAAACCCCCACCCCCTCCCTTCTTCAAAATCCTCCCCTACCGAGTGAAAATAATACGTCGATTTAAAATCCATCATAAATAGTCTAATAAGTGTTACTTTTCAAATTTACATGCCAATCTCTTTTTTTTCGAGACGAAGTTATTCAATCTGACAGTTTACGATTTAAAAAATTGTTTACATGATCATATAATTTATAATGGTTTTCATTTCCCAATCATTCTTTCTTATTTCAAAAAAAAAGAAGTTATTTATGAATTCTATATTATGCCGTGAGTAGTGTTATTAAGCGGCTGAGCCAAATCGGCTTAGCCCTTAAACTCAGCCAGTTTTTGCGTCGAAAAATCGACTCAAGCTCATTGAGCCATATGAGTTGGCCAAGTCGGCTCAGGAATTATCTCAAGCCGACTTTTGAGCCGAAATTTATAATATTTGTAAAGTGAGTCCAAAAAAAACTTAAAATTTATTATTAAATTTTTGAAAGTTAGAAAAAAAATTTAATATTAAAAAAGTACATTTTGTCTTTATATCATAATAAATATTAATATTGTAATATGTAATATATATTTAACTATTACTAATAAATTATCATTAAATTTTTTATTTTTTGTAAAATTTTTAAATTCAAAAAAAAAATATTAAAAAAAATGAAAATTTGATTTTTTTTTATATTTATATATTAAAAATAATGGGAAAAGAAAATTTTTTTTTTAGTATTCATAATAAAAAAAGATATCTTGTTCTCTAAAAAAATTTATATATGTATTTAAAATCAATATAAATTTTTTTATAAAATATAAAAATGATGATAAATAAATTTAAATAACACATAAATGCCGAGTTCGTAGCACAGCGAGGCTGTCCCCCTTCCCCCCCCCCCCCTCATCCCATTGAAATATTGTAGAAATTAAGATAATATTGTCACATTCATAATTTTAAAAATCAAATCTGTATTTTTAAAAAAAAATATACAATCAATTTTTGAGTATTTCATAACCGAAATTCTAATTAAAAAAACTATTATTTTGAGTTAGTTATTTTATGCTAAAAGTCCCATGTACTTCTACCTAACCAAAGCGGGAATCGTACCACATATCTATATGTTATCTTCAATGGCTTTTTCCCGGGCAATATGTCATTTTTACAACTTTGAATCATGTTCAGAATACCTATCTTATGAATTATAGACAACAGAGTTGTTAAAAGATACTTTTTAATGGATCTAGATACAGACACATCGTCTAAAAAAAATAGCTAGATACCGATATTTTAATAAAAAATCTATCTAGATACATATACAGATACCACATTTTTATATCTAGATACAGGATCTAGATACTTGAACTCTGATAGACAATATTGCAGTTAACCTTTGAGTCATTTATTTATTTGATTATAAAAAAATATACGAAAA